GAACTCGGTGTCTATCCTAATCCCTCCTCCCCCCTCCTCCCCATCCCGGTATCCCTTCACCCTTCCGCCCATTCCGCTCCAGCCTCCGCGCGGCGCTAAGCAGGGTTGTCGAATTCCGCCCCGAATCCCGGCGGATCCTGTCGAGAAATCCCGATTATCGAGCAGGCGGGCAGACACGTGCTGCATGCTGCATACTTTCGACTCCTCGGTGCTCGGCTCGGTCAAAGTAACCAACACGATTCATCCCCGAGGACCCACACTCGGATTTTGAGTCCGGCCGGGATTCGATTGTTCCTTCAATTTGAGGCGCTTGGACGGTCGCCACCCTTACACGCCTGATCCGGGCTCAAAGCATTTTTTTTGACGAAAATTAAGCGCTGTTAAACACTCATCCGTATTAAATTTGTCGCAGAATGCGATTGACACTCTTCAAATTTCCAAATTTAGTTTTTCACAGGGTGGCTCAAAACCTAGCACGAAAGGGAATTCGAAGGCAGCTTCAGGGTTGCCACAGTCAGGGAATACCGGGAAAACCGGAAAATGTCAGGGAATTTCTAAAAGGCAGGGAAAACCTGGAAATGTCAGGGAAATTGATGAAAGTGTCCGGGAAAAATTGTTAATTCACCTTTATCTGCCCTTGAGAATGGGTTTGACGTTTTGAACAGCAACTTTTGCGTGAAAACTTGTTCAAATTATGTCTTTTTAACCATCCGGCATATCTTCAATCGTCAGGGAATTTTACTCAAATGTGTCAGGAAAATGTCAGGGAATTTCATCTTCCAAATGCTGTGGCAATCCGGGGAAGGGAGTTCGAAAGAAGCATCAGGGTTGCCACAGTCAGGGAGTACCGGGAAATGTCAGACAATTTTAAAAAATTCAGGGAAACCGGGAAATGTCAGGGAATTTAAAAAAAGTCATGGAAAACCGGGAAATGTCAGGAAAAATGCCAATGAATGTAAAATGTAAAGGAAAAACTATCAAGTCACCTTTATTTGCTTTTTAGAATGAATTTGACGTTTCGAACGACCAATTTTGCATGAATACTATTTCCAACTATGTCTTTTTAACCAACTGGCATACCTTCAATTGTATGAGAATTTCACCAAAATGTGCCAGGGAAATCAGGAAAGTGTCAGGGAATTTCATCTTCTAAATTCTGTGGCAACCTTGAAGCTTGAGAGATCAAGGAATGCCAGGGAACTATAATATGCATTCGAGCAAACAGATGGTTGATGTTATCAGTCGCTTTTTCTTTTTTGTTAGCTTCGCCCGATTTTCAGTGTTTTCGTCACTACAGACGAGGAAGTTAGGGATCAGAACATTTTTTGTCGTTCCGTAAAGTGTAGGAATTTTCGCATAGGGTCCACAGTGTCAACTGGTCCGGAAATAGTACTGATTTTTTTGGGCGGTCCTAAAGTACTAAAAAAGTACGGACATTTCCTATACAGGTCCAGAATTGTTTGCTTCATGCCTTGGGTGTTGTGTTTTTTAAAACAGCCTGAAAAGTATGAAATCCGTCCTGCAATGATTCTGAGTGCAGTATTTTGCTCGCTAGATCAAGATTGTAAAGCTAATTGATCCTTAGGCTACCAATGAGCTTCGAATTTCCTGGTTACGCCATCTTCGCACGATTTTCGCGTGAATTTCGACTAAGTATTTTCGAATTTCACGCTAAGGCACCATAAAAACATTGAGTTTTTCTGTTTGTGAGGTACTGAATTTTTTGGGAAGGCACTGAAAAATTACTCTATAAGTATTCAACATTTGCCAGCCAGTTTTAGTGGGCACCCTATTTATGCGACACAAAAATCCTGATATGGAAAGTTGGCATTTTCGAAAACGCCTTCAATTGTAACGTGATACCTCACGCATTCCGGAGAGTACGAATAGTTGTATCGTCGCGCCTTCGCAATGCGATGGAAGATTAATATTGAAGTAGCCTCCTTGTTTGTCGGTTTTATTTTTCGGCTATTGCAGTTTTGACCTTGTAATTTAAGTGTCCTATAGCTAAAATTGTATTTAGCAAATGAATAGTTTTTATAGAATAATAATTGAAAATAAACACGTGGATCGTGGCAGTACTGCCCGTCGTCGTATCGACGTGGAGCGGTGAGTGCGCGGAGACTCAAAACGCCTACATGTCCGTTGTCCGTGCGTATGCAACACGGACATCCGCGAAGCCCGAATAGTTGCATCCAGGCGTTTTAATAAAATTCGTCTAGTATTTGTCGCATGCGATACTATTCGGAAGAGCTTTGCTTGTCTTGTCTCTCTCTACAGCTTAATGTAAGCATAGTGGAACCCATCGATGGCTTCCTTTTGAACAGTGTTCGAAACTCACCTTTGAGTTTTAGGAGCCATGTGGCGCATAAAGCCCGATTTTTAAGCGCCATTGAAGATTTTTTAGAGGCCAAATTGCGCTTTTGCCTATATATTACGGCGCATTTAGTGGAAAGTTAGACGCAAGATGTTTTCGGAACAGAACCAGTAATTAGCTGTAACTTGAGGAAGACAAAAGCACTAAGAATGCGTACGTGAAGAATAGAAAAAGCTTTCACTTGTAGTGCTGAAAATTCTGAGTTTTCTTTAATTCAAATATATTTGTTTTTCTTTCTTTATGTGACTCCCTATGACAATCCAGATTTTTAGGGGACAATTCTTAGGGGCCACGTTGGCGCAGAGCCTTCATTTTTTAGGCGCATTTGGCGCTTTGGCGCCTGTGAGTTTCGGACACTGCTTATGAACCAACCTAATTCATCTTAAAAATCTCCGCTCAAAAACGGAAGCAGGACAGTATCTGGAGCGGAAGGATTCAAATTTCACTGCAGCATCCTTCTACGCTCCGCTCACAGTAGTCAAAGCTGAAGCCTGGAGCTGGATGCCAGAGTGCCTCCAATGCGCTGCTCCCCCGTTCCACTAATCCCAAAGCAACCCCCCTTCCCCCGTACCCCCG